CTCCCGCTCCCTCCCGCCAGTCCGTGGAGCGCGCACCGCCTCGCCGCCCTTCCTACCCTCTTCCGTGGGCCTCTCGTCTGCGCTTGGCTCCGGCGACTCCGTTCTGCTAATCCTCTGGCGGTTTTCTGGGTTATTTAGGCAGGTGTAGGTGGAATCTAAGTGATCAGCAGGATGCGCGGTGAGCCCAGCGTCCTCCTACGCCGCCATCTTCCCTCTCCTCCTCCGGGGGTTTCCTTCTTAAAAAACTTTATTTCACTCCTGTTTGTATACAGGTAATATATGCTTCTACACATCTGATATGGTACAAAGTTAAAAATGTTTCCTTTACCAGATCTTTGTGTCATTCCAGAGATATTCCATGTATTATGTATATACATATTATATATTTTTTAAAAATATAAATGATTGGGGCACCTGGGTGGCTGAGTCGGTTAAGCGTCTGACTTTGGCTCAGGTCATGATCTCGCGGTTTGTGGGTTTGAGCCCTGCATTGGGCTCTGTGCTGACAGCTCGGAGCCTGGAGCCTGCTTTGGATTCTGTGCCTCCCTCTCTCTCTCTGCCCCTACCCTGCTCATGCTCTGTCTGTCTCTCTCTCTCTTCCTTAAAAATAAACATTAAAAAGTTAAAAAAAAAATATATATAAATGGTTAATATAATACTACACACTATTTTGCAACCTGATTCTGAAAAATTTTCTGTAGTCATAAAAATCATTCCTTATCAGTGCATCTAGATGTACTCCAATCTTTTTTCCAGCTGCACAGTATTCTAATATTTGGATATCTCCTTAATCAGTCCTCTTCTGATGAACATTTGGTTGTTTTCAGTCTTTAACTACTGAGCACAATGCCTCAGTGAGTATTCTTATACATTAGTCACCTGGATGGATGGTGTAGCTGTGGGATAAATTCCTACAAGTGGAATTTAAGGGTTAAAAGATACATGCATTTCACATGTTGCTAGAGGTTGCTGCCCCAGGTTTCTATGCTCTGATAGCCCCGTTATCCGGAATCCCTGTGTGTGTTCGCTACTCTCCCCACCCCAATCCTGAAACAATAGTGAAGTACAGACCATGAGCTATTTCAACAAGCAACTTTTAGGGGTATGCTAGTTATTCTTTTGGTGGCAAGCAACAGAAATCAATTCTGGCTAGCCAAAAAAATTTTTAAAGGAGGGATTTATTGGAAAAATATTGGGGGCATCTCATGGAATCCATGAAGTTGTTAAACCATGAGACCTAGGGAAGTCCCCCAAATGGGACCACCCTAGAGACCTCAGCCGGTTGTTCTCAGATCCCTTCTGCTTTGGACCTGATAGAGCTTCAGGCTGTGTGCGTCTCAGCCAAGAATTTTTATTTACCAGACAATTGGCCTGGTTAGGTCAGACGCTGTCTCTCGATTAATTAGCAATGGGAACTGGATCCTGTTGGGTGTTCCTGGCCAAGGGGACCCATCCCTGTGCTCCCAGACGTGGAGGCGTGGTTGTGAGCTGGGCAGCCGCTGCAAGAGGTGTGTGGTTCCACAGTAATAAAATAACCATCTTGAATCAGCTGACTCTACTCAGTGCGTACAAAAGTGCAGTCCGTGGCTCAGTGAAGGTAGCTGGGAGATTTCTTTAAAAGTATTTTTTGTATTTGTCCAACCTTAAAGTCTTGATCTTTATGAACTACCAAGAGTGAATGATGACTGTGGAGTCATCATCGTATCAGGGCTGAGCAGAAAATCGTATCAGGGCTGTTGTCTTGTTTTAGAGATAAGGAGAAGCAACCCTGTGTTCATCAGCATTGGTTGTTTAAGATGAGGCGTACTGCATTGGAGCACTTTGCTTTCTGCAAAAGTCAAAGCGCGTGAACTAAAAAGGCGCCCTCAATTCTGACAACAGCAGTGAGGACAAGGCAGTATAAGAATTCCAGAGACAAGGTCAGCCTGACCCATTGTTAGGAAAACCCTTCTGACACCTGACCTGCCTCCAGACTTCTGCAAGGTTGACAAACAGGTTGGAGATGGCGATAGATGGATTGTGAATGGTCACAATTCTTCGGCCCCTCCCCCTCCTGCACTCATGCCTTTTGCAGGTGACCTTACAGCTCTTTCCATCAACATCTGGAGTCTATTTCCCCACATTCGTATCTGGGCAAGATGTGTGACTTGATTTGTCATTAAATGTCATGGCAGCAACATCTTGGAATAGCTCAAAGCCACCCAACCCCAAGTATGGGAGAGATCTAGCCAAGATTAGCAGCACTGATGACTCAACCTACTTTGACCAAAGACACACGAGTGATTCCAGCCAAGAACAGAAGAAGTACCCAGCTAACCTGGAGATTTGGGTTTAAATATATGCCTCCTGTTTAACAAGCCAGTAGCTAACCAGTACAGCAACCCAGCCCAGTCAGGCCAATGATTCAGAGAGAGAGCAGTTCTCATTGCCTGACCGTCTCCATTCTTGGGTACACAGCATCACATGAGGGTGTACTCTTTCTTAATACAGTGAGGAAACTCCCACATCATCAATAGACACTGTGCTCTAATGCACTGGCTCCTATTAAATGCCCTGGTGGATTAAATTGGACTAATCCCCTGGCAAGATGAGACTAAGCCTTTAAAGTCTCTTTGACTAATTAATCCATTCTGAAGCCGATAGAAAGATTTCTTTAAACAACATTGACAACTGAAATCATGTATACTGAATGAACTTAGATCTTGAGGGAATTAGGCAGGGTTCATATGTGCACAAATCTAGAGATATCTTTGGAAACTATGACTTCATTTCTACCAGTTTTCTTGTCTTCATTGTGTATGGTCTTTGAAGGTCACAGAGTAAAGACTGAAGTTGCCAGCTATCATCTGCCGTGTCCACATGTCCAGGTGGAGCCAAATAGCTGTTTTTATCCAGCCACTAAGCTCTGTCCTTATTTTCTCCTTCAATCTCAAATTCAGAATGTACTGATACCTTGTCATCTTGTAACGGAATAATCTTCTGAAGAGAAGGGTTGGTTCAAACTGGGTTTTCAGAACCCTTTAAGTCCAAAGAGGTTTTGGTCCTGAGAAAGCTGTTTTCTAAGTCTTTTCTATAGTCTGGACACTCACACACATCAACTGAACCACATTGCTAAACATTCCTTGTACTGGAAGAATTTGTCCTTGTGTGTTGTTGTAATGGAACTGGATGTAAGGTTTTGCCTTATCATCTGTCAACTCTTGACTTCTTTTTTTTTTTTTTTTTTAAATCAGGGATTCCCTGTCTGTGGGATGTGAACTCAGCTGCTGAGTGTAGCCCAGACTTCCCCAGTCCTCCCCAAACCCATCGGTAGGTCCCATCAGTTCGTGTGGGCTAACAGGAAAAAGTCTGGGGCCACACAGATCCTGGTGTCCCTTGGAGAGCATTATGCCCCAAAGTCTGAACCCCCTGTCTTACCTACTTTATGAAGGCTTTCTCCTTCCTACCCCTTCCCTCAGCCTCTCTCCCCAACTTCTCTGTCTTCCCAAAGCACCTCATACTTTCTGACACTGCTTTATAACTCTTTCCCTGTCCAGTTCCCTCACCAGACTATAAGCTCCTGGCAAGGTGAGGAATGTGTTATTTATTTCACATCCTTAGTGCCAAGACCAATGTCTGAAATATGGTAATGGCGATTCCATGACTGTTTGTTAAATTAAATAATGTACTTAATTTTAGTTCTAATGAGGAAATGACCAAGCTGGCATCACTTCCAGAGAAACCTGAAAAGGAACAAGGTGGGATGCTGTGGTAGCCACAGAGTGTGCCACTCAGATCCTTTTAGGAGCATCTGCTGCAGGAGCCCAGATGCCACCCATTGGACCCACCGTGGCACAGAAACAGAGGCTACGCTCTGCCAACTGTCCCCAGCCAATGACTACGACACAGGTACCAGAGACCATCCACTCCTACCTGAAGTACAATTACTACAAAGGGCTGCCTTCATTTGGGGACTCTCCATGAACCTGGCCAAGATTTTCTCAGAACTTTGCTGAGGACTGAGACTCTTTCAACCCAATCTTTCCTTCCCTCTCTACTCTCATGGGTGTCAGACCTGCATTGCAATATGATGGTTCTCCCTGCCTGCTCTCATTTTGTCCTTTTTTCTTCTTCATAGACATTTCCCTGAATAA